ATTTTAAAGCAACTGGATAACAAGAAGCTAATTATACCTAAAAACAACAAATCTAGCAAGCCCCATAACCCAGTCTATGTGATAAATATTATCTATAATGATGTAGGAATATTTCTATCAAAAAGGATCAACAAATATAAGGAAATGTATAACCTTTGGCAAGTTCCTGGAGGAAAAGTTGAAGAAAATGAGTATTCAGTTGAAGCAGTTATTAGAGAAACAGAAGAGGAAACAGGATTAATCATTAAAAGTGATATGCCAAAACTCATTTTTAATGATTCTGAATTTAACTGCGATGTCTACATCACCAAAGTAAATATGAACACAACCCTTAGAAACACTGAACTGGATAAGCAAAGCTCATGGATCCTAAATACCTTTGAAGAGTATGAAGGGAAATGTAAAAGAAAAGAAATGACTCCAACACATATTAAATATTTTCAAAAGATATTAGAAAATTTAGAGATACCTAGAACGACCGCTCAAGCTCAATGGGAGGAACATAAACCCCAGGATGCATATTTTGTTGAAGCTGAAGTTTTTGGAAGAAAAATTAATGTGATGATTGATACAGGAGCTGTGAGATGTATCATCACTAAAAGTTTCTTAGATTCTGTGTACAAGGATATTGAAGCATCTACAAATGTACAAATAATTAGTGTTATAGGAGCAAGGACAGCACCTTTAGGAAAAATGTTAAAAGTAGGTGTAAAAATAGGAAAGTTTGAAATCAAAGAGGATATGATAGTTACTGAATCCTCTGGATATAATGTTTTACTTGGAAATGATTGGATAACTATGCAAGCAAAGGCTGTCATTGATACGAGCAAATAAGTCATGACAATCAAACAAAATAGTGAAACTGATGTTGTCCCAATCACGTGCTTTTCCAAGATCGATCCAAAAGTGTTTACTCCTATAGATTTTGTTGAAGAAAAATATGATGATTTAGAACTTGAAGAAGTATATGAAAACCCTCAACACTATCTGAACGTATCTTTTGATAACAATATAACAACCATCAACAGTCAGCAATATCCAACTGAATTTTTAGAATTCAGCAAACTTGAACTCCTTAGAACTAATAAGCATTGGAAAGGACCAGGACGATGCTTGTGTAAAATATTATCAAAAGGAGAAGATTGTTCATATTGTAAAGTATTACATCAGGACCTACAGGAATATCAAATAGCTGTTGCAATTAATAAGCACAAATTGAAGTAAGCGATAAACTGATGAAAATATCAAAAGGAAAAGAAACACCAATAGGAAATTTAACAAAAGATCAGCAGCAGCAACTACAACAATTATTGGAGGAGAATAAAGATTTATTTGCCAATGAGAAATCAGAGTTAATACAAACCAATATCTCTCAACATGCAATCATTACGGAAGATATACATCCTATAAAAAGGAGACCATATGCAACATCTTCAAAAGAAAAGGAATGGATAGCATCAGAAATAGATGAAATGTTAGAACAAGGAGTAATTCGACCATCTAATAGTCCTTGGTCTGCACCTATAGTTTTAGTCAAAAAGAAAAATGGTCAGATGCAGATGTATGTTAACTACAAAGAACTTAATACAATCACAAGGAAAGATAATTATCTATTACCACGAATAGATGAGTTATTAGACTCACTTCAAGGCTCTTGTTAGTTTACATCTTTAGATCTATTTTCAGGATTTTGGCAAATAAAAATTCGATCAGAAGATATAGAGAAAACTGCTTTCATTACCAGCGAAGGATTGTATGAGTTCACAGTAATGCCATTTGGATTATGTAATGCTCCAGCTACTTTTCAAAGAACAATGGATACTATTTTTCAAAAAGAGAAACAAAAGTTTGTTAAGGTTTATATGGATGATCTAAACATCCACTCAAAAACATTTCAGGAACATTTACAACACTTATAATTAGTTTTTGATCGAATTAGAAAAGCTAATTTGAGAATCAAACCAGACAAATGTCACTTTTGTACCAATGAAATAAAGTTCTTAGGACATGTGGTTAATGAGGAAGGAATCCAACCTGATCCCTCAAAAATTGAAAAGGTTGTCAATTATCCTAGGCCAAGAAACTTAACAGAATTAAGAGCTTTTCTAGGATTAGCTTCTTACTATCGAAGGTTCATCAAGGATTTTTCAAAGATATCAGCTCCATTGTATAAACTGACAGAAAAAGAGGAAAGTTATACATGGAATGATGAAAGGCAAAGAGTGTTTGAAATGTTGAAAGAAAAATTGACAACAGCACCTATTCTCATGTATCCAGATTTTGATAAACCTTTCATTCTTTATACCGATGCTTCTCAGATTGGTTTAGGCGCAGTATTATCTCAAAAAGGAGATGATGGAAAAGAGCATGTGATTGTATATACTAGTAGAACTCTGAATTCAGCTGAAAAGAATTATAGCACAACAGAACAAGAATGTTTAGCTATTGTGTGGGCAGTAAAATATTTTAGACATTACATCTTTGGAAGTAGATTTACAGTTATTACTGACCATGCAGCATTACAATGGTTATTAAATGCTGAATCAAAATTAACTGAAAATAAAAGGATAATGAGATGGAGACTCACCTTACAAGAATATAGCTATGAAGTGAAATATAGAAAAGGAAAACACCACGAAAATGCGGATGCCTTATCACGGATAAACCCATATGACCATGACCCAACACAGGAAAATATATTATCACTACCAAACTCTAGATTTTTCAATAATGGATAATAAATTTTATGAAAATCTAACCCAATATTTGAAAACTCTTACATACCCACCGGATTTGGACAACTCTCAACGGATTAAACTGCAAAAGGATTCAACCCAATACAT